TGCCTGTGCTGGGTTTTGAAGAACTGTTAGTGTATGAATATTCAAGGGGAGGGGTGTCCCAGGAAGAGAAAGGATGTCAAGCAGATACAGGGAAGTAGGATAGAGTCAGGGAAATTCTGGAAATTACTTCCAGTTGGAATAAGAGGTGGGTGGAAGAAAGTGGAGGACTATATCTAGAAAGAGGAGCAAAGGACAGAAAAAGTCTATCTGAGAAGGCCAAGCTGAGGAGTATGAATTATATTCAAAAGTTAGTGAGAGCCCCTAAAGGTATCTTCTCAGAGAAATGATGTAATTAGACACAAAGAGCAAGTAGGAGCCAGATGTAACAGTTCAAGTGAATTATATTGCTTGTTTGAAATATGAAAGTGGTACAAGGATGGGAAGTGAGAGATACTTAACTTAGAAAAGCATTGAATGTGGTGCCTAAAGGGGAGAAAAAGGCAACGATGGCTCTGGTTTCAAACATGGATTTCCTGGTAAAACCACGGAGGAAGAGCAGGCCTGGGGGGAAACGTGATACGCTCAGGTTGATGCAAACAGACCATGAGGTGTCGATGGCTCATCCAGGTGATGGCATCTCCCTGGCAGTGAGATACAGTTCCAGAGTTTTGAGGTGGTCAGAGTTGAAAATAATATCTAACAGGTGTCTACACAGAGGAGAAAGCTGATACCTCCAGAGTGGGTGAGATTTCCAAAGAAGCTAGTATAAAGAAGAAGAACAGAACTTTGACCGTGTTTATAGTTAAGAATTGAGAGGAGCCTGGGAGACCAGAGGAGGGACAACCAGACAGGAGGTGCAAAGCCGGGAGGATGCCGTCAGGGGAGCTCATGATGAGTTGCGTTGCAAAGAAGAAGGGAGAGTCAACAGGGTCAGCTGTTGCAAATACGTCAAAGATTCTAGCAAAGGAAAGTGATCTATGTTTGCCAAAAGGATGAAAAAATAAATACTGGCTACCTAGGGAAAAGTAGCTTGGGGCTAAGGGGTGGAAAGAAGTCATACTTGGAAGAGATCAGGCAGTCCAGTAAGGAATGAAGTCCCAAGGCTGACAGGATTCACAGGGCGCAGAAGGGTTTTTTAGGGCAGGTTTCCATGTAGAGTAGTAGACACTAGTGTGTGTTTAATAGAAGTAGGTGAGAGATTGAAGATGAAAGAAGATGAAGGAATAACAACATCAAGACCAAAGCAAAGTAGACAGCCTCAGAAATGAAATACAGTGGGTCATCATTGTGTGGGAGCAAGAAGAGATGAGGCCATTCACATCAGATGTCTCGTGTTTTATCACTTAAGTAAGAAATGAACTCATATTCCGAGGATGAGAAATAGTCCAAGGAATTTCCAGGCTATGGGCCTATATGTTGGCAATTAAGTGGATCACTGGGTATTCTAGGGAAATTTGAACTCTAATTCCAGAAAACTAATTCTCTTTTCACAAAAAGAAAAAAACAACTTAGTTTCAAAACTATCTATAAAGAATAGGACCTACTTGCTACCTTGGTATATATGTAAAAAAGTATGTATCTAGAACAGTGTTTCCCAAAGTGGGTGATACCGACCCCTTGGGGGGATGCTGGAATGATACAGGGAAGCGGGGGCTATAAAGCAGATACTTATAATTTATCCTGGATTATGGGCTATAGAATAAAAGTAAGTATTTTTGGTCAAGAAGGCCATAGTCCAAATAATTTTGGGAACCTATTATCTAGATATTGTGATGATACAAATAAAATGAATAGGAAAATAGAATTACCAGTCTCGTAAACCCACCGGGGGGCAGTTGTGCCCTATCCTACAGGGTCGCTATGAGTTGGGAGTGAATTGATGGCAGTGAGTGTTTTGAATAAGCAAATAGCTGTACCTTGCTCCAAGTTGGTTACATGGTTACAAGGTTTTGAATGTGCACTGCTCTCCTAAGTCCTACCAATGACATTGTTCTCCGAAAATCCTGCCTCAGTCTTTCCTCTTAAAAGTCCAGGAGCCTGATTGGGGCAGAGGACTGTTGGCCAGGCACCCATCCACAGCAGCCCTTGTTTAGCACAGCAGTTGCTCAACCCTTTTCAAATTGTTTGAAGCCCAGCCTTAGAACTTCATGTGCATAGTATTACCATCCACCCACGCTGACTCACAGCAACCCATAGGAAATAGTAGAAATGTTCCACTGGTGGAATCTTTACAGAAGCAGACTGCCACATCTTTCTCCCAGGGAGTAGCTGGTGGGTTCAAACTGCCAACCTCTCAGCTAGCAAGGAGCACTTTAATCACTCCACCACCAGCATTATTTGTGAATAATATTACATGGATATAAATCAAGTTCCAATAATTAGTATAAGACACCATCTGACCAAAACCAAGCTCATAGTGACCTTATAGGACAGGGTAGAACTGCCTCAGTGAGTTTCTGAGATGGTAACTCTTTAAGGGAGTAGAAAGCCCCATCTTTCTCCCATGCAGAGCCTGGTGGTTTTGAACTGCTGACCTTATGGATCACAGCCTAATGTGTAACCAGGGCTCCTATAACAAAGAAACAGAAACAGGGAAGAGCTGATGCCATGGGCTTAGGTGGAGAGCAGATGTTTTGAGAATGATGAGGACAATGAATGTACAAATGGGCTTTTCACAATTGATGTATGTATGGATTGTGATAGGAGTTGTATGAGCCCCTAATAAAATGATTAAAAAAAAGAAGAGCTAATACCAAGGACTCAAGTAGAAATAAAATGTTTTGAGATTGATGATTGGAACGAATGTACAAATGTGCTTGACACAATGGACGTATGTGTGGATTGTGATAAGAGTTGTATGAGCCCCCAATAAAATGATTTTTTTTAAGTAAAAAGAAAAAAGAAAGAAAGAAACAGAAACAGAAAGGCTATTTCCTACTCACTCTAGCACAGTTTCTCCTTCCCAAAAAATCATGAGCACTTCCTAATGATACTTACCAGTGTATCACTTTCTACCTTATTAATCATTTACTGTTCTTTTCAGTAAAAGTTGAACATCCCGGTTTACATCTTGCTAAAAGCATTAAATGCCCTTCTCATTCTTCTCTTGTAATTTCATCTCTTTCCTTTCTCTACTGAATTTTCAGTGCCTGGCATGCTGTTCAGGAGCAGGACGGTACAGTGGTTACATGTGGGGCTGTGGTCCACATGGTCTGCTGTTCGAAACCACGAGCAGCTGAGTGGGAGAAAGGCTGGGCTTTCTACTCCTGTGAACAGTTACAACAGGAAACCCACAGGGGTCGCTATGAGTCATCAATGACTCAATGGCAGTGAGTTTTGTTTTGTTTTCTTAGTTTGGGCACGTCTGTGAATATAATCAATACCCATATGTCATTTACACTGTCCAGTGGAGTTGAGGGTTAGCTTCTATGAATGATGTGTGACATGGGCCTCTGAAAGGAGGCCACAGAGATGTGGAAGAGAGCCTAATAAGGAATCTGGTTAGTACATTAAAAATTACTAACATCAAAAGCATATTCTTCCACCACATTATTTTGTACTCCCATCCTCTAGGTTACAGTAGACACTTAACAAGCTTTGACTGGATGGATGAAAATGGTATAGACTTAATTTCACACACACACACACACACACACACACACACACACGAAAAATTAAGATTAAAAAAGAAGAAAAAAACAGGAGAGGAGCACATTAAGAGAGAGAATATCAATAGTCAGTAGTTCTTGCACCCTATTTTACACACAAATCTTTTGGATATTTAACTGATGAGGGTTACAGTGATATGCGAGTTTCTCAAAAGCCGCAACACTGATTCTTCAGCATGTCTGGGTTAGAGTGACTTTGCCTGGGTGAAAAGAGGAGGCTTATTATTAAGGGAGAGCAAGGATGGTATGCAAAAAACAATGCAGATAGAAATAAGGCAAGTGACCCTTCCCCCCAAAAGAATTCACTTCAGAGGAGAGCACTGAAGCTGCAGCTCAGGGAGAGGGACGCTTGCTCAGAGCACACAGGAGCAAACGAAGGGGTAAGAAGAGAGAATGGAGCACATCCTGGCCCACCGAGCCTTGAGGACAATATCCCTGCTCAGAGCAGGCAATCCACAGAGAGAACCATATGACCGGCCCCACTATGAGACACGACATCCCTCACTGACCCATAGCACTATCGGGAACAACACTGAAAAACCAGTGTGGGAACTACACCTGATCTGACCCTACCACACTGAGGCAAAACACTAAGGGCGTGCAACAGAACAGCAAGGGGACCAGAGCAAGGAAGTCCTGAGGGAATACCAAAAATAGACTTTGGGACCAGGGAGTGGCACCCCATCAGACTCGACTGCAAAACTCTCCTAAAGGTCAACAAACAGACCTTGAACTATTTACAGGCTTTTCTCTTTTTTGTCATTGGTTTTTTGTTGTTGCTGTTGTTTTGTTTTCTTTTGTTGCTTTGTTTTGCTCTGTCTTGTTTTTGATCAAAGGTAATTTAAAGGAGAGGAATTACTGATACCCAAATGAAGGCTGAGCATGATAAGAGGAAAGTAAAAGGAAATAGAGGAAAGAACTAGGAGACAAAGGGCATTTATAGAGGTCTAAATACAGGCATGTACATATGTACATACATTTATATCCAATGATAGGGAAATAAATCTATGTGCATATATTTATAGGCTTAGTATTAAGGTAGCAGATGGACATTGGACCTCCACTCAAGTACTCCCACAATGCAAGAACACTTTGTTCTATTAAACAATAATTCAGAACTCATTCCACTTTTCTTTAACTGTGTTTGGAAAATAGTCCAGCGATGTCTACGGGGAAGTTCTTATATTTACTTTGTGTAATTGGCTCCCTGATCAAAGAAAGCCTCTTTCTTTAGTCATATAATTCCTAGGTCAGCTGTCTGTGAGTAAGGATTGAGGCAATGGACCAAAAAAATCCCCCCCCCCCAAGTGAGTACTGTGGTTTGTTGGTTTTTGCAAGCAGTTGGCCCTCAGAAACCTGAATTCAAGTTATATCATAAAACCTAGATGATACCTTTTTATCAAAAGCCACATGTGCAGGAAGAAAAGCAGCAGGAGGGGCCTGCTTAGGTTGTCCATAAGTTAGTGCTGGTTTCATATTGGCCAGCTCATCAAGCGCGTCCTGGGACAGCTGGTTGACCGGGAGCCGCTGTCCACCTATCCCAACTGTTGGACGTCGAGTAACTGCATAGCCATTCCTGTAGCCCAGCGTCTGGCTTCTATGGAAGGCTGTTTTCTGAAGGAGACAACAAAAGGGTGTCAGTAGTAATAAACATGAATTTGTTATAAAAGAGCTAACTTAATAGAACAATAACGTAGGCCTCTGGGTATAAGCATCACAAGGCACATCAACAAATTTATTTACCTTAAAATGTGCTAGTATTTTATGCTAAAACACATGGCCTGAAATATGGAAGGAAGGAGTGATGTGAGCGTATAATACAGAATAAAGAATTGCTTTGTAAAAATCAATTTAACTAGTGGCTCACCTTTCATGAGAGGCTAAAATATTATCTCATTTCCTAGTCATTTGATGCTTCTCATCTTTTACTCTTTACTTTCCATCTTATCTGAGGGTTTCGAACCACGGGACTTAAAGGATCTGCTTCTGGAGCTTTATTCTTACCTCACATGAAAAGTCCTTCATGCTACGGTATCAGATAGAACCATATAGTTCTGAGGAAAATAACAGAACATTATACTTAAAATACTGAACCCAATAGTTTCACCCAATTTTAAGGATATAATCCAAAATTATGGGGGGAAACTGCCAAAATGGCCCATGGTAATGTTAACTACAATAATAGAGTGTTGGAAATCACCTAAAAGGCAAATATTGTATGAAGATGCAAATGATGGCTCATTCAATAGACTATTAAGTAGTTATTAAAATATTGGTTTGAAAGCTAACAGTGATGGTTGAACAATATGATGAGAGCGGTGTCACTAGACTGTACATGTGAAGGCTGTAGAAATGAGAAATGTTCTGTTAGTGAATACTTACCACCTTGCAGCAAGAAAAATGGTTCTTAGTAGGCTTAAAAAAGCATCATGAAGGTTTTATGTCTATTGCAAATGCAAATAAAAAAACATGAAAAGAGACCGGCTTTGTGGACTGTTTATATTATATATTTTTGATTAGGTTTATTTTAAGACAATGAACATGTTTTCAAAGGGTAATTGGAAAATATGAAAGATCAACTATGAAAAATATTGGAAGTAAACATTACTCGAAATGAATGTACTGAGTTTGATGTAATTTTTTGCTCTTTACTTTCCAAGTTATATGTATATAATTTATAATTCACCATCATATATTGTTTAAGTTCAAATTCATTCTCCCAAAGAAATCAGTTAAGCATTTTATCTTAATCTTGTAAGTTTATAAATTATTAAATGACATAAATATACTTTTTGCTTATCTAGGATAATCAGCCTACCATCTATTGACTCTAGTGCTGACCTTTAAAACATACATTTCAGTAATCCTGTCAGAATTAAAATAAATACTAAAGAGTTTTGTCATGGGAGAAAACAGTTATAAGCACAAGTTTATCGTTTTCAGTTTTGTCTAGAGACGGGATAGGAAACGCTTAAGGTTTGGGGGAAGAGACAAAGCAAGTCTAAATAGGAATTTTTACGAAGAAATGTAACGGTAAAAAACGCTAGAGTATGCAATCAATGGTGGTTGGGGGAATTGGCATGTAACCAGGGAAGTATGTCTTGGAAGGGAGATGGGCAAATGCTGAAAGTCTGCCTTCTCAGAAACAGTAGCCAAGGAAGAAGAAAAATGAAGATGAGGAGAGAGTGGAATCTAGACTGTCGAAAAAGTAGCCGCGCGGGCTGCTAATGGGCCGAGTTGCCTAGAAGCTGGAAGAGATGGGCGGGGGCTGCAGAAAGGCCGTGGCAGAAAGAAGAGAATGAGTGGAGAGGCTGTGTAATACAGGATGTGGAATTGGGGTGGGGGTAGGGATTGAGTACTGGCTCTGGGATTCAGAAGAGGAAGGGATTGGTCAAGGAAAAATGGGATCTGGGGAGGGTGGGTAGGATCGAACTCACTGCCATCGAATGGATTCCGACTCAAAGTGACCCTATAGGGCAGGGTGGGACTGCCCCTGGGCATTTCTGAGATGGTAACACTTTAGGGAAGCAGAAAGTCTTTCTCCATCGGAGCGCCTTGTGGTTTTGAACTCCTGACCTTGCAAAATCTACTTCACCACCAGGTCGCCTGGTGGTTTGGGGCAGGGCTGTGGAAATGAGGATGAAGGTGGAGACCCTGACTGACTGGGACGGGGCATACCCCAAGGGCCGAGGCCTGGGTGGAGATGGCGGGCGGTTAGGGATGAAGGGATGAAGACGCAAGGTGCGGTGTGGGAGAATGAGTTCAGGAAAGAACCCTGGGGGAGCAGGGGAGCAAAGTGGGGAGCCATGTGATCTAGAAAGAGTAGTAGCCCAGAATGGAGGAACGGGGTACCAAGGCACGATGCACCAACCCAGAGGATAAGATCGAGAGCAAGTGGAAAAGCAAAACTGGAGAAATGCACGGGAGGGAGCCCAAAGGTGGAGGAAGGATGGTGGTCCTTGGAGGTGACCGACAGAATTGCAAGGGAACTTGAGCGCATGGCCAGGTGTGAAGGGAGCGCACAGACCCGAATAAGGAGGACGGAGGAGCAGTCAGCGAAAGACCCCGAAGCTACTGGAAGGTGGGCAGCGAGTCCTCACCGTGGAGTCCGTAAAGGACGAGCCTGGGAGAAAGGGCAGGCCGTGCACCGGGTGGGACATCCTCGCAGCCGATTTAACCCGCGCCTCCTCCGTGCCGCTGAGTCCGCCCGGGCTGCCTGGCTGGGGCCGCGGGTCCCTCGATACTCCATGGAAACGCCAAACATTCTGCGCCTGGCCGCTGGGTCTGCGCGTGCGCAGTGCTCAGGAATCAGCTGTTGGGAGGATCCGAGTGTTGATGGCGCTGACGCTTGCCTTCCTTTTCCCTCCTCCCCGCCGGGTGCCACAGCTATTGGGCGGCTGAGGGAGGCCATTCTCTGGCAATTAAATCTAGGGGTCGAAACAGGCCCTAAATTGAGTTCAGAAAAGGGAACCGCCATCCTTCCCTCCACCCCTTTCATTGCCAGCACCCTAAGCCCAGGCACTTTTTTCTTCTAGTTCTGCAAAAGAGGGCTCATTTCAATTCACACTGGTGTAAATTTTTGTTTGGATTAAAAAACGCTACCGACACCCTAGTCCCTCTGCTTCTTGGAAACGGAGGTCACAGATGATTCATAAATTGGATTTCTTTTGCTCAGAGAGTTTAATGAGCGAATGCAACTAACCCACTCCTAATCTTAGGGCTAATTTTTCTCCCCCACCCCACCCCTCACCCCCTGTCTGATTTATTTATTCTGTTTGTCAGAGGTTCAGGTTCAGAGGCCTCCTGGTTCTTGCCAGCCAGCCGAGTTTAGGCCCCACCGGGCATGGTGCTCAATATTTGTTGAGGGAATCCGGTACATGAACCTTAAACTGCAATGGACAGGTCAGATACACACAGGGAAATGCAGCTCCTAAAAATAAAACATATGAAGCATGAAAAAGCAGCAAATAAATTAGGTGAGGTGAAATAGCAGCTTTACGAACATTCTCACTCTTGTTCGTTTTAGTGAAACACTGCAGGTAATCAAAGTTTATTGAAAGATAAAGATATTTGCAGAACTAGGAGGCACACAAGCATCCAAGCAGCGTGCTGAAGTGTTCCAAACTGCAGGGAGAACATCGAAATTTGTATCAGGTGGAAAAGACAAAGGCTTAGTGCTGCAGGTGAAGTGGGTTTCAAAAAGGGGGATAAAAATGCTGAGTGGTGGAGGTTGTTAAAACCACAATGTATCTTTACATCTGCCTCGAACCTGACAAGTATCTCTAACATTAATCTTTAATCTAGTATTAATCTCTAACTTCTTGGAATATGTTAGATCCAGACATCCTTCTTTTACATCACTAAGTTAATCAGTGCATATGCAATTGAAATGCTGGAAGTACGGACTCATCTATGCTGAAATAGTTTATTGTGCCAGCCTGGCCGATAAACACATGTGGGATTAATTGAAGGGCGGAGAGATAAATGGCTCTGCGAGCCTCGCCTTTGTTGTGTCTTGCTTTTTGATCATCGGACCAGTGTGCGGCTGTCTTGCTTGTTCTGTGCCTCAATTTGCAAGCTACACTACCTGTGGGACACCTAACCTGTGAACTGTGTCACTGTAATTTGAGGTTCCTTTAAGACCTGGGCTTCGCCACACAATTGGAATTTACATCTCTTGAGCTGGGGACTGATTGTTGGTGACCTGCCTTGCTGTTTGCTGCCTATGCTGGGGTAGCCTGAATTCTCTCTACAGAAGACTACCTGGCGGCCCTCAAGACTTGAAGGACTGCCAGTGTCTCACAACTGTCTAACACATTTGAGTTGTACTGAGCCATTTGTACTGCTTTATAATTTAACTGTTTATTTGTTGTGTTATCTATCTATCTAACTGCTTTATAATTGAACTGTTTATTTATTGTGTTATCTATCATCTATCTATCTAATTATTAGCAATCTGGTTTTATCTCTCTAGAGAACCCTGTCTAACACATATGCCAAGAAATTTGGAAGACAACTACTTGGCCAATTGACTGGGAGAGGTCCATATTTGTACCCATTCCAAAGAATGGTGAGCCAACAAAATACTCAAATGCAACATGCAAGTAAAATTTTGTTGAAGATCATCCAACAATGGTTGAAACAGTACATTGACAGGGAGCTGCTAGAGGTTCAGGCCAGATTCAGAAGAGGCAGTGGAACAAGGGCTATCATTGCTGATGTCAGAGGGATCTTGGCTGAAAGCAGAGAATCCCAGAAAGATATTTACTTGTGTTTTATTGACTATGCAAAGTCTTTGTGTGGATCATAAGAAACTATGGATAGCATTGAAAAGAATGGAAATTCCAGAACACCTCATTGTGCACCTGTGGAACTTGAACATGGATCAAGAGGCCGTTATGCAAATAGAACAAGGGAATCCTGCATGGTTTAAAATCAGAAAACTTGTGCATCAGAGTTGTATCCTCTCATAATACTTATTCAAAATGTTTGCTGGGCAAATATGAAAGAAGTTGGATTATATGAAGGAGAAGGGGGCATCAGGATGGGAGCAAGGCTTGCTAACAACCTTTGATTTGCAGACTGTGCAACCTTGCTTGCTGAATGTGAGGAAGACTGGAAGCACGTGCTAATGAAAATCAAGGGTTGCAGCATTCAGCATGGATCACAACACACTGTAAAAGAAGATAAAAATCCTTACAACCGAATCAATAGGCAAGCACGATAAACAGAGAAGAGATCGACATTGTCAAGTATTTTGTCTTTCTTGGATCCACAATCAATGCACATGGAAGCAGCAGACAATAGATCAAAATATGAGTTGCATTGGGCAAAACTGCTGCACAAGACCTGTTTAGAAAAGTATTGAAAAACAGGAGGGTGCCTTTGCGGACTGCAGTGCATCTGACCCAAGCTGTGGTATTTTCAGTTGCCTCATATGCATGTGAAAGTTGGACGATGAATAAGGAAGACTGAAGAAGAACTGATGTATTTGAATTATGGTGTTGATGCAGAATATTGAAAGTACCATCGACTGACAGGAGAACAAACAACTTTGCTTTGGGAAGAAGTAACTGCAGAATGCTTCCTAAAGGCAAGGATGACGAGACTTCGATTTACATATTTGTGAAATGTTGTCAGGAGAGACCAGTTCCTGGAGAAGCACATCATGCTGGGTAAAATAGAGGAACAGAAAAAAAGAGGAAGATGGATTGACGCCAGTGGCTGCAAGGATGGGCTCAAGCACGGGAATAGTTGTGCGGATGGTGCAGGAGAGAGCAGTGTTTGGTTTTGGTGTGCATGAGGTCTCCATGGGTTCCGAACTGACTTGACGGCACCTAACAACAACAACAAAGCAACTAATAGGGGCCCTGTGCCACAGTGGTTAAAGTGCTCATCTGCTAACCAAAAAGTCAGTCAGTGGTTTAAACCTATCAAGAGATACTTAAGAGAAAGACATAGCAGTTAACTTCCATAAATATTTATAGTTTTCTAAACTCAACGCAGGCAGTTTCTATTACTGCAATCTTCAAATTGTTGAAAAACAAGGATGGCACTTGAGATCTAAGTAAGATATGCCTGACTCGAGCCATGGGGACTTCGACTTCTGTAAAGAGTTACAGCCTGGGAAGCTCATCGGGGGCAGTTCTACCCTGTCTGATAGGGTTGCTATGAATTGGCGTCAACTCAATGGCAGTGAGTTTGTTTTTATTTTTCCATCCATGGGAAAGCGGGATAATGAATAAAGGAGACCAAAGAAAAAATAATGCTTTGGATTACACGCTGACAAAGAATATTAAGTACGCCATGGACTGCCCGAGGGTGCGCAAATCTGCATTGGAAGACGTACGACCAGAATGCACCTTAGAAGGGAGAATGGTGAGATTCCACCTCCTGCACTTTGGTCCTGTTATCACAAGAGAACAGGCCCTGGAGGCCAGCGAAAAAGAGGGAGAGCCTCAAGAAGATAGATTGACCCAGTGGCTGCAACTGTGGGCTCAAACACAGGGACCGTTATAAGGATTGCAGGACTGGGCGGTATTTCATTCTGCTGTATACTCTGGATGGAGCTGACTCAGGTACCTGACAACAAGTCTATTAGTTAGCATCCTGTGGAGCCACCTGGGTCAGCTTTCTGCACGTTTGCTTGTCCCTCTTATCTTAAAGAAACAAAAGTGTGTTAGTTACATAATCGGGTGTCAATTTGAGAGGATGCAGAGTGAAGGGGTGGAGTCTAGTCTGTCAATCAGATCATAGCCAATGGAGCTTCTGTGTGGGCATGGCCTTCTCCTGAGAATTCTTGACTCCTGTATTTTCCTCCTTGGAGGCAGGAGGTACGCCTCTCTCTCTGCTCACTCTCTTGGAGACACTCTACTGACTAGACACATGGCACCACGCTGATAGACCCAGTGTCCTGGGAACTGGAGGAGCCATGTGGAGACCCCTGCCAGCGCTGAGATGCTTACGACACAACGGAACCAAAAGACTTTCCACCCAATGGCCTGTGATCGTCCTGCATTCAGTGTCATTGCATGTGTTTCGTGAGTCTGAAGAGGACTTTATAGACTGGTATTGGACTTATGGGCTTGATCTGGACGGGGCTGGGACATTTTCTCAATATTCAATTGCTATTGTATATAAGCCTATATGAGTGTGTCTACGAATTTCTTTCTCTAGTCTACCCGGACTAACACAAAAAGCATACTTCTACAAAGAGAATACTTCTACTTTAAATCAGATTTTACAAAAAGTCAGCAGAAACAGGGTAAAGGCCCTGCAGTGAGTGAATATTCTGGTTTTAGACAGTAAAGTTCAAACTAAGACTTAGTTAATTGGCTTTTACTTTACTCCGGTTCCAGAGTTGTGAGGCAAATTGTATGGCTTTATTTTTCCCAACCTCTTGGGACAGTGCTTGACTACTAGTATTCTCTCTAGCTCCAAGTTGTGTATGCAGTCTTTCCTGACAAATGTCCTCAATGGTTTCTCATCCACATCAGAATCCTGACTCTTGCTCTCCGTGTCCCAGCAGGGCTGACGTGGTCCTTCAGATCCGAACAAGTGAAGATGTCAGTTCCATTCAGAATGGAGTTCTTAGGCCCGAGGGGCTGTACCTCCGTTTTAAGGGTTAAAGTCCGTACTTTCAAGTGACCAAAGGCATTTGTTCAAATATTTTTCCTTAAAAGAAACTGCGTGCCTTGTTGAGGTGTTTAAAATTCAGATGTCCAGGGGGTCAGAGTCATTAAATCTGAAGTGAGGAGTCCTGGGGGAACCATGGTGAGGTGCTCAGCTGTTAACCAAAAGCTGGGTGGTTTGAACTCACCATAAACCCACCAGCTGCTTAATGGAAGAAAGAAAGAAGAAAGAAGGAGGAAAACCCTGTCTCCTTAAAGATGACGTTGAGAAAACCTAGCTCTATTCGGAATCCGAGGAAGAAGGTCTGCTCTGTCCTCTACGGGAGCAAGGAGTCCGAATCCTCCCCTCCCCACAGCAGCCCTTCCTTTGCAGCAGCAGCAGGTCTGAAGTGGAGAGCAGGCATCCGATTTGCATAACTATTTCTGATAATAAGCCAGGTGAGGAGCAAGATAAGGCTAGTGAGCCTCATGCAAACCACATTCAGTACTTCTTGTTTCTCAGTATCTTAAGTTAACT